CCCAGACGATGGACAGTCCTGAGCAAAGGTCCCAACCCAGCCAATCGCCTGGCCCCACAAAAGAAAACAGGAGAGCCAAGGGAGGGTATCTTCCAGAAGGTCTTTGTTGCAATTTTCTCCATCATTGAGGAAAAAAAGAAAAACAACAACATAAGAAAAAAAAAAACATTACATTATTGAATAAAGACAATAATAGCAGCACAGCTTACTGAAATGTTACAAGCAAGTTTGCTTTTGTACTTTTTCCTAAGAACATTACGAAATCCCCCCTCCCCAATATTTCCTGTAAAATGCCTTGTTTTGTTTTGTTTTTAAAGCACCATGAAATCCTACAGAGAGAGAACTAGGTAAAACACCTCCACGCATGGGTTTATCATCATAGTCCCTGGGTCCCCTGCCTGTGACTCTGGGACGGGGGAAGAAGCGGGTGCTGGCATGTGAGTGGGTTTGCATATCACTTCTAGGCACCAGGGCGCCTTCTCCCCCCTCCCCAGCTCACGCCCTGCTGGCCAAGGAGCGGGGGGGGGGGGGGGCCTACAGCTGTCCTCCGCAGCACAGGCCCGCCGTCTCCACGGAGCACAAGTCCTCTTGAAGAATTTTTACAAAATGAAGAGAAAGCTGAGATTTTCTTTTTTTCTTTTTTTTTCTCACTTAAGAACTGAGAACAAAAAAAGTAGATTCCGAATCTCTTAGGCACCTGTGAAAATGAGAATGAATTTCGGTAAAATCGGAGACACCCCTTCTCAATGCCACTGTGCTGATATGACACGACCCAAGGTTGACGCAGAGCATGACCGGGCTGGGCTGGTGAAGCACAAGGCGGCTGGTTTGCGGTACACAGATGGGCAAGGCTTTCTGCACAGCAGTGCTAACAGCATGTCATTCCAAACTTCTGCATGCACAATAAATAGCATCCACTACACAGAATTAAAACGGTCATTGTCTCAGAGCTGCTGCTGTCCCCTTTTTTAAGGCCAATCATCACTCTCCAACTCTTTTACACACCACCACCACCCAGCTCCTTCCTTCCGATCTTGTACACACTTGCACCATAAAGGCAAGACAGGCAAGTGCCTGCGTGGGACATTAAGGGAATTGGAAAGCAGGGATATGAAATGCATCCTGACCTTTTTTTCTTTTTTGAGAGCTGCTGCAAGTTTTTTGCTGTGCCTTTTCCAAGATTAGGAATTATTCACATACTTAACAGAATCCACTGAATCATCTTACCTGCCCCACCCAAACTTTGGTTACATTCTAATCAACCCACCTCCCAGATTAACTACACCAAGAGATGGAGCAGTATTAGCCAATAAATGCTCTCTCCAAGAGAGGCAAGGAGATGGTTTGTTAACGACTAACAAATTAGGACTTCAAGACCGAGTAATCCTTGCATCATGCAGAGCAATCACTTTCTCTCTGTGTATGTGTGCATAAGAGAAAGATCTGATGCCCATGATACATGAGCTCATAAAGACCTGTCAGTAAAACAATCTGCAAATAGCGGTAGCTTAAAATTGTTTACATAGTCTTATCACCATGCAAAACATTCCCGCTTAGCATGAGACCTTCAGGTGACAGTATGATGTGTAAGGGAAGATCAAGTGAGCCTACACAGGATGTGATTCTAATCTGGAGTTCAGTCTCGAAATCCATTAGTCACTTTTGAAGGACAGGAGAACCAGAGGCCATCTGCACCTAAAACAAGTGAAACCATTAAGAGTCGCAAAGATCTGTTAATACACCTAGCCAAGAAACCTGTTAGAGAACTACAGAACGGGGCATTGGTGATGGGCTTCGATTTGCGGGTGAAGTAGCAGAGATCTGCACACTGTGGTTGTCTGAATACAGACTAAGTTCTAGATGCCTCGCCCTTCACCACCATCACAGTCTCCCCTCCACAAAGTGATGAAGGCTTCACATCACCACCAAATTGGAGGAGGGGCCTTAACCTCTCTAAACCAGTTGTGAGCTCTCAACTGTAAACCTTTAGATGTATTATGGAAGGAAATTTCTATAATCAATGACCAGTTGAGACAAAGGACACAGCTCACTAGTGATACTGCTTGTTCCATGTCCAAAATAAGAACGTTGATTCCTGGTTTATGGTGGAGATGAAAAAATGCAGATAAGGGAGGTATACCAACGTGTATCTCCAAGACTGAGGGGGTTTTGTACTCAACATGAACCCAGTCTAACAATAAGATAACATTCAAGCAACTTCAAAACTGGCCTCTTTCCAAATCTTACAGAGAAGAGTCCTACCTCCTTCCCTCTCATCTTCTATGGAGAGCCATTTACTGTAACATTTTTACCCACTTATCTGATGGACCAGCCTCTAAGTGGGTTCTCTTTTGATGTTATTTCGCAAGGTCTTTAGCCTCACTTGTGCTCAGGGAACTGATTATATTGAAGGTTTTCCCACTCCCAACCCAAGGGTTATTTTCAAACTCCCCTCCCCAAATAGCTATGATTTAACTCCTTTACGGAAGCATGCCCACATATGCACCTGTCCCATTTGGTAACGTCTGCAGCTTAGTGCTTTGAATTCTTTTTATTCCTGTTATAAGCAGAGTTCCTGCAAGATTAGCAAGTAAAGTGCAAAAGAGTGCTTTCAAAGGGCATTTTTAACAATACAGAAAGGGGGCCACATAGAACATAGCAGAACCAACCCCTTCCCCCAAGAAGAACTTTTATACAGCAAGTGTCTGCAAAAGCGTTGCATCAGGCCATGTTTACATAAAAATCTTATACTCTCCTGGTGTTAAGTACTCCTCCAAACTCTTCCTACCACCTGTGTACACCATGTCTATGAAATCCAGAAATGCAGGAACACACAAGTGTGTGCGTGTGCGCGCGCACACACACACACACACACATACACATACTTACATACATGCAGAGGGTGCATGATACTGACATTATAGCGAACTTGAAAGCAGACTTTGGTCAATCTATGAATACTAGCTCTACCACCTTCTTGCTGTGTACCACCCAGCACCCCCGAGCCTCTGTGTCTTCATCTGTATAATGGAATTTCAAATACTTCCCACATGGTGGTATTGTGAGGTCTCAGTGAGCTAACATACATAAAGTGCCTAATACAGTGCCTGGCCCACAGAAGGCACTGGGTAAATGACAGCTGTCATTATTTCCTCCAGGAGGAAGTCCCTTTGCCAGGTTAGGCTGTAGGGCCTAGAGTTTTAACACACTACTCTAAAAACAATGTGCTGGCAGGAGAGAGTAGAAATCTACGCAAGTGAAATTCTGGTGTTGCTTTGCCCAAAAACTAAACGCATGACCCAAATAGCCAAGTGGGAGCCAGTACAGCATTGAGCCAATCGTGGTAAAGCCTGAGGCAGAGGGATGGTCTGAAAGACAGAGTTCCTACATTTTCGCCTTTCTCATAGAAATTTAAATTATTCTCTCAAGATCTAAAAAGTTTAGAGTTGTTCCTCCACTTTTCTTCACTGGGTGTCGTAGCTGAATGAAACAATTATGACTGTGTGTGAGTTATAGGTTGGCTTGAAACAATCATTCCCACCAATGTCCCAATTCTAGCAAATAGCAGGTATGAGTTGAAGAAACAAGCAAGGAACAGTGATGCTTTAAGTATAAATGCCCAAATATGAAAGTAAAATGTAAGTATTTTAAATTCTTGTTTTTTTAAACATCTCTTGTAAAATAGTAATAATGGCACTTAAGCTGCAAGCAATTAAACCATTTCAATGTTATGTTTAAGGGGTCACAATTCCTTTTGTTTGGAAATAGCAAAATTGTGTCTCATAGCTATGTCTACCCTAAGACACCCAAAGGGACAGAAAGCCCTGAGATGGAATGATGCCATGGTCCTCCTCGGTGTGTCTCAGAATGAGGGATGTTTACTCTTATAAAAAAACACGGGATCTGCTAGAAAAGAACAACAAGCTGCTGGCATCATGCAAGGCAATAGTTTTTGGTACTTTCCCCTCTTACCAAAGCATGTTATAGAACCAAAGTTTCACTATGAAAGTGAGCACGGGCATTTCAAAACAAGTTCATCTTTATACCATTGGACCTACTGAGGAAAATGCATGATTTGCCTTTAACCATGCAGCGATTGAGGTTGAGTTCAGCAACACTTGCAAGTTCATTTGGACTACCTACCCTTGGAGAAAAGGGGGCCCGGGGGAAATCAGTAGGCTTCTGTCATTGGTTAAGGTGATATCCACAGTGTGATGTGTTTATGACTTTTTTCCCCCTCTTGTGTAATGAAGAAAGCAATTGCACCTTGTAATATATGTGTGCTCTGATCTGCTTCTGAAAATTCCAGGTGCTCTCAAATCCCACAGACAATCATTAGAAAGACTAGGTATGCACAGAATGGTTTGCATCAACATCCCAGCTCAGGGCACATGTCACAATGGCACATCTAAACCTAGTTAGTTACCGTTGTCACCCTCCTCAAGCCCCCTCAGCTGTGTGTACGTATCGCTAATGGGAGGTTCAGGACATGAGACTCCACTAAAAAGCCACTCTGCTTCCTTTTAGATGGCCAGTCTAAGGAATAGCTGCCTTTTGAGAGTTGGTGGGCTGGGGGTGGGGTGGGGGGGGTGACACCACACAGCACACAGCATCGCCATGGAAAAATCCCTCACTGTGAATGAGAGTCACCCCAGGGTGTGCAAACGCCCCCTGTGTGTCCCGCTGTCGTCCTCAGAAGTGAAGCTCTTCGATTCCTTTTGGCAGAGCAAGTTTTTACTGACTTTATGGCACAGTGAAATTCTATTCTCCAATGCTATGGAAGTCCAGACTAACAAGAAGTCCGTTTAAGGCACGTGTCTCAGTGTGAATATTTAAAAAAAACCAAACCAAACCAAAGGCGAACACTACAACAACACTCGGTCCGAGTCTGGCGTGGCCCACGTTCAGTTTCTGTCTTCAAGGAGCGCGTTGTTCTCCAGCTCCCTGTCTTTGGTGTCCGTGGGGACCATGCCGTTCTCCATCTCCGAGTGCTGCTGGATGCAGTCCGTCAGCATGGCGGTGCTGGAGTTGTCCGAATTGCACACCTTCTCCGTCCCCTCCTCCTTCTTCTCTTCGTCCAGGGAATAATTCCGGAAGGTCTTGTAGATCTTCTGGACATCATCGGGTAAGGTCTTTTTGAGGTCCTTGTTTTTCCTCTTGGTGAGTCTGGAGGAGGACCCGAACTTGTTGATGATGTTGTCCTCCGAAGCCCCCTGGCCGTGTTTGTTGAGCTGCTCGGAGCCCTTGCGGCGCAGGTTGTTGGGCCTGTTGTTGATGCTCTCCTGGGACGAGGCCTTGAAGCGGCCTGTGTCCAGGGCGGCGAAGACAGAGCGCTTCTCCGGGGACAGCATGTCCAGCGAGTGGGCCCGCTGGTCCAGGCCCAGGCGCCGGCGCTCCATGCTGCGGATGGTGGCCGCCCGCTGCAGCTTGTCGTGGATCTCCACGCTCAGGCGTCGCCTCGTCTCCCGGAACTCGGCCGTGACATTGGCCTTCCACTCAGCCGCGTGGGCCTTGATCTCCCCGACCTGGCCAAGAGATGGAAGAACAAACCACATGCTGAGAAAGTCCTCCCTGCTCTCACCTCTCAGCACCCACACGATTGGGGGCTCCAGTGGCAAAGGTGGACTGGGGGAGGGGGGAGGGGGGAGATGCACCCGGGGAGGAGGAGAACTCACGCCACTTCTGGCTTAGTTCTACCTGCTCTCTGCTCACATGCTTCAAGCTGGCTGACGAGGCACAGGGGCCATTCTGCATGAAGCTGGCTTGAGCTCTGGAGATGGGAAGTAGGTGAGAAATCGCCACATTCTGAAGGGGGTGGGGGTATCAACACCTGCCACTGGACAGGCCTGGGTCCCTGTGGTGTTTCCACTTGGCATTTCATTGGTGGCCTTGTTCCTCTGACATAGACTGGAGTCATTATAGCTAGCTTGGAGTTTCTGAGTGTCTCATGAGGTGGGAAAAGGCCCTAGGTCAGACTTGGACTCAGCATATGCTCAGCATTTTCTCTGTTCTTTCCTGTCCTTCCCTCTTCCGCTGGGACAAGGTAACCAGTCTGTTCTAGTTTCCCCAGGACTGCGCTGACTTAAAAGAGAAAATCATGTGAAAGTCTTTGAAACCCAGGCGACTGGATGGTTGGGCTTCCTGTAACTGTCTCTGCACTGGGCATGTGCAATTCTCAGGCTTATCCTGGCTAACGAACACATTCTGGGGCACCTAGTAACCAAATTTCCCTGGGCAGGGGGCAGGCAAGGGCATGACCCGTCAAAGCCCACAGAACATATACTCCTTTAGAGTCAAGCTTCGTGTGAGAATTAGCACCAAAGGTCTTGGTTCTTAATAACAGTACAAGTCCCACACTTCTGGGAATAGAAAAGTAACTACAATGTCTGTATTAAAGAAAAGAAATCTTTGTCAGTCCTTTCTTAAAAAAATTAGTAATTAATTTTCAGTGAATCAGCGGTAAGGAAAACCTAAAAACACAGCACTTGGGTCTGGTAATGACTTAGGAAGGAAGGTTCTTAAATAAGCTGTTGTCTCACAAATGAATTGACATGGACGATTATTCCTGGAAGCAAACAGTTGCCCTTACAGAAGCCAGCCCTCACTGTATTTCTTTTTTTCTTAAAGCCTTTCCTTCTTCTGGTCTCCTTTCTTTGTCTTCCCTGCCTTACTATTTCTTTTCCTTTCTTCCTAGAAGGGTTCCATGAGTATTTTTTTTTACTCAAAGCCTATGTTGGCATTTTATATCTTCATACTCTCTTTCCTTTGTGTCATTTTTTTCCTGTAAATTTTTATGAGGGGGGGAACACTACCCAACACTCATCACAGGGATATATTTGCCTCTAGTGACCAGATAAAAAACATGAGATCAGGGGGCCAGTAAGCAAAAGGGATCTATATATCTCCATGGCTTTCTATGGATGACTGTTTTTTGATGACTTCAACCTTGTGTTGAACGCTGTAAAACTCACGGTGGCCAACCATGTGCCACCCAGATCCCGAGGCCTGAAGCCTATGCAGAACTGTCTATGAATCTTCTCAGTCTCTTCACACTTATGTTGAGAAGAGGCTGCTGCTCATTCTAGCCATCATCCACCTCTGTGAATGATGTCTTTTTTTCCCCTTTTATAAAAGAAAAATTAAAAAAATAAGTTTACGGTTACTAGCCTATCTAATTGATAACTGAGTCGCTCTATTTCCTCACTTGTCAAATGAGGCTCCCGAAGTAACTGCTATTCCATTTAGCTTGGCTCTGAGGGAAAGATTCTCAAAACCAAGGGAGCCTTGGTGAGGCCACGACTTAGCAAGAAACACTCTAGCCCACAGAGCAGACAAGGGCTATTCTTGACGGCCTGAGCGCATCTGATCTCAGGAACACTCACGGAGTGAGGAAGGGGTTCCTACCTCTTCTTTGGTCTTTTTGGACAGAACCCGTAGCCAGTCTCCGATCATGCTGAGGACGGCTGCGAAGTAGGCGAGGCCCACGAGGATCCAGAACCACACTAAGGGCTTATACCACTCCCGGTAATTGATGCCAGCGTTCCCCCCTGCAAAACAAAGGTCTCTTTCACTGCAGGAGGATTTTGCAAAGCAAACGTACCCCAGTCTGTGTAGTAGAGCCATCGTCCCACCACTCCCTAACACTCTTAGGGTACAGCATCTGCTGTGTGCATTATACACAGGGATCCGGGGGGTAGAGGGGGCAAAGGAAGATGTCTCCCATTCCTAATGGAGCTCAGCCATGGCCTGACATTCTTCCATCCTCTATCGCTATTCTTAATGCTCTTAGCAAACGTGGTCAATGGGTAACTAGATTCACTTAGTGTTAATTCATTGACAATTAGGTACCAGAGAACAAAAATACAGGCCCAACTGTCATCTTTCTTGTTGTTGTTGGTATGCACCATTGAGTTGATTCCACACCTCATTAACTCCGTAGGACAGAAGAGAACTGCCTCGGAGGGTTCCCAAACTCTCTTTTTCATGGAAGCAGATGGTCACAGCTTTCTCCTGTGGGTGGCGGGTGAGCTCAAGCCACCGACACTTCATCCTCCTCAGACACACACGCGTGTGCCAAGAGACAATGTATGGAGGTAAAATTAGACGTAACGGTAATTACTGAGACTCAGATCCAAGAAGTAGTGAGTTCATGCTAACTGAGGAATTGTGCTCACACGCTGCTAGTACAGAGAATCAATGCGGTCAGTTAATTAGAGTCACCATAAGCTAGAATGGAAAGGGATTTTAGAGTTCAGCTTGTTCAATTCCTTTATTTTAGAAACAGATTCCAATAAAAATCCATCAAACCAAAATGGCTGGCTGCTGGACTGCATTGACTAGCTGTTCCATGGAGAGCATCAAGTCATTTATTTTAAATAATTAGCCTATTTACGCTAGCCTTCCAATGGCTACTGCCTAAGGTCGCCATGCAAGGTAGGTTTCAAGGCCAGCCCACTCTTCTAGAAAAAGAGGTGGGGAAAAGAAGGGAAGTCAGCAGTCCACTGTTGTCACTCTGTGAGGTGTTAGCCAATGAAGCAGGCAGGCAACCATTTCCAAAATGATTGATACTAGCAGCGTTGGTCATTATGCTACTGCACGACGAATGATTAGTAGACCATTGCACTGGGTCACTGCTGTAACCCACATCTAGAGCTAAATACAGATTGTGCTCGTAGGGGACCAGGAATACCTCCCAAAGGCAGCGGGGCAGGAACCGTGGCCTACAGCTCTTCTCAACGTGTCTTTGCAACCCACTTTGCAATGAAGCCCACGAGGTCTTAAACGGCTATTCCATTTCCTAAAGTCAAAAAATTCCAAGTATTGTCAGAAAGCTCTGTGGCAAGGCGTTTGCTTTAGCGTGTTTGGTGTAGGCTGACACTCCCCTGCACAGCGTTCCTAGTTTGTGAGTGCAGAGCAGGCCACATTAAGCAGTCGATACACTTCCTCTCCTTTCTGAGTCATATCCTTTGCAGGATTACTTGAAAGCCAATGGTCCCCGATCACAAGACTATGGCCCCATAATCAGCTATGAAGGAACACATTTGGCTTGATGCCCCATGGCTGTGTTTCTTTGCTAGGTAAGAAGTGGCTAGCATAAGCTAAAGGCTCCTTCTGTGGGGCTGAAGGATAAGAAATAGATCACAAATTAGACTCACAAATAAAATGGTCAATAGTGTGTAACCTCATTCATCCAGGGCTCTGTACTTGTGATCTAGAAACACCTCTGCAGCTGCTGAAGGAAGCAGCTGGTTAGAAGAGTCTAGACACAAATCTCATAAAGCAGAGAGTCTTCTAGACAGCTAACTAATACATGTGTAACTCAATGCAAACCATGCTTTGGGGTCAAGACGTCCATGGGAATAGTTGCACAATCCAGTTACCATGGTGCGTGACCATAGACTAAGACACAGGTCTTGCTGAGGTATTGATGGACAGGGCTTCTCAGTCCTGCAGTGCAGTCTCTCTCTGGCACCTGGGGACCCTCAATGCCACAGCACTAATGTGACTTCTCGCCTGGGGCTGGAAAGCACACTTGGTTGAGCATCACGCACAAAGAGATGGGTGGGATCCCAGTCCTTTACTGAATAATTTTTAATCACTTTGTGGCTTTCCAATTCTTCAAGCCATAAAGAGGAAGGGGAGGGGACAGGGAATCTAGTGTTTCTACAAAGTGGACCTCAATTTGCAACACATGGCTAGTGAGCTGTATCACAGAATTGATGGAGAGCTGCCCATATTTTTATTGACAAACCTTTAACGTTCTTTGCATAATTTCTCAGCACATCCCATCCCCATTTCTGTGTTCCACGGGAAACCAAGGTACTGCTGGGACCACACACCTGAGTGAACTTGCTTGACTGACCACACAGAACTCTCCCAATGGGAAAAGAGAACAATGACCCTCTTCTTTGATCCTTGCCTTTTTAATCACCCTTTAGAAAAGTGCAACAAATAAGCCAAATCTCATCTCATTTTCAAACTCTTGCCTTCATATGAAATTGGTATATTTTTTTAAAAAAAGTTGGCTTATATATAGCTCATTATCATTTATTTTGTTCAAATACATAGCCTCCTTCTGCTTCTCTAAGGTGCCCTGGTGGTGCAGCGCCCTCCACGTTGGGGCTGCTAACTAAAAGGGTGATGGTTCAAAGCTAGTAGGTGGTCTGAGAAAGAAAACTGGGCAGTCTCCTTCCATTAAGATTGACACTCTCAGAAACCGCACGGAGAGTGGCCGTGAGTTGGAATCGATTCAATGGCAGTGGACTTGGTTTGGAGTTTTATTGCTTCTATAAGACTTTTGTTCATAGGGTCGCTACGGGTCATCTACAACCCTACGGCACTTAATAAGAACAAGAACTCATTCATAGGGAGCTCTGGTGGCCTTGTGGGTAGATAGTTGCACACAACCAACTCAAATACAGGTACTTCATATCTGCTAGCTGTTCTATGGCAGGACAATATCCATGAACACAACATCCATTCTAATAATACTTTCCTCCAGTTCCTGGAAGCCACCTACGACCTGGGCACGCCCAGAACAGCTTCTGAGGGGGGACAATAGCTCAGCATCAGGAAGCTTCATCTTCTGGCTACCGCAGACCTAGCTCTGTGCTGGTCTGTGCTGTTTTCTGCCTGCCAGCATAGCCTTTATCCATTGATTCAAGCAGCTTTGACACCTTTCAGAAGTCCACATTCAATGAGACATTTCATCTCATTCCGGCATAATTCATATGATGATTGGGGCAATGGGCGTCCTGGGGAGGAATAAGCATGTGTCTGTTCCCTTCACAGCAGAAAGCTGCTGCTGTTTACATCACAGAGGACCACGGGGTTGAAATGAGCCTCTGCACAGCAGCAGAGACACCTGAGCCATTTCCATTTGCTTCTTTCAAAACATTTCTTGTGGCTTTGAGAAGCATGGTAAAGAGAGAGATTCCCTCTCTCCCGCCCCCCAGCCCCCCTGCTATGGACCTAGTAACAGATGCCCATGGTGCTCACCTGCCACAAAATCGCCAAAGCCCACCGTGGTCAAGGTGACCACCACAAAGTAAATGGACTCCAAGGCTGTCCATCCCTCGATGTACTTGAAAATGACAGCAGGAATGGTCACGAACACGATGCAGCCGGCCAAGATGAACAGGATGGTAGAGATGACCCGGATCTTGGTCTGACTCACTTGCTTTTTCTAGGAAAAAAAAAAAAGAGCAAGGCAAATCAGCCTCAGCCTCCTGGATGAGGAAGACAGAGGCACAGAAAAATATTTTGGCCAGTGGCTTCAAATACTTTTAGGCCACAGGCTGCTATCTTAGGATCTAATGAAACCCTGGACTCCTTCTTAGAAAAGGGAAATATAGACCTTTCCAGAAGGTCAGTCTTAGGAGGTTCTCAGGCCCTGCAGAGCTGTACATGGATAACAGGTCAAGAAACCCAGTTAGTTCATGACTTGAGTGACCTCTTGTGATTTCCCAACTATAGCCTGAACACTGATTCAAATCCCATCACTGGTACAAACTCCATTATTCCCCAAGATAGGGCTGCAGGCACTTTTCCATGTGGTCTGGAGACTAAGGTGCACCTGATCCAGGCCATAGTCTTTGCAATCAGTTGCTATGCATCAGAGAGCTGGACAATAATGAGGGATGCTAGAAGAACTGATGCCTTTGAGCTGTGGTGCTGGAGAAGAGTATTGAATATACCCCGGACTGCTAAGAAAATGAATGGGTTCATCCTGGCGAGGGTAAGACCAGGCTGCTCCTTGCATGCAAAGATTCTCAAGCTTCCTTTGACCTACTGTGGACACGTTACAAGGAGAGAGACACCAGTCCTTGAAGAGGGAGGTCATGCTTGAGTGTATGGAGGCAGAGTAGCAAGAGAGGAAGAAGACCCTCTATGAAGTGGACTGAGTCAGTGCCTGGGGTAATGGGGGGGGAGGGTAGGTGGGTGTGTCAGAGACAATAAGATTGGCACAGGATAGGGCAGGGTTTCAGGCTGTTGTGCATAACGTCACAATGAGTCATGGGCGACACGACAGCACATAACAGCAACAACAATGATTCACCCTTCAACAGAAGAGCTCAGAATTTGGTTCACCATGATGGAGACTGCCTTGCACACACTGTCCCTTCTTTCTGAACTCCTGGTGGCTTAGGCCACCAGGTGGGGAGTTGTTCTTTGCTAACCCACGCCCCTCTGGTGCTTCAAATCCACCAGTGGCTCCATGGGATAAAGATGGGCAATTTCCTCCTGCACAAGAAACCAAATGCGGGGGAGCTCTGGTGGCCTAGTGGCAAGAAGCTGCACTGCAAACCCAGAGGCACACAGTTCGAATCCACCAGATGCTCTGCCAAGGAAGGAGGGACAATCTCCTCTTCTACCAGTCAGATCTGATTTGACGGTACACGCGCACACACAAATAATAAAAACAAAAACAAACAAACAAAAAAAAAAAACACCAAATGCGGGGTCAGCAATCAGTCATCTCTGATAGGATGCCAGTGTGTTTCTTTCTGTCAAAGGACACTCACTGGAGGATTTATATTAAAAGTAGATGTTCTACACCTCTTTCAAGAGGCCTTTTCTTATGCAGGGACTTAAAAAATCCCCGACTTCTAAGTAATCTGCTGACACCTTTTGTGTAATTTTGTTTCTCATTCTCTTTCTCTCTCCACTCAAACTTGTTGATGGACTTTTCTGTTCCAAGTAGCAGACCACAACTAAACCCTTAACCTCTGATGAAGTGAGAAGGACTTCTATTTCTTCAGTTCTCATTTCCAGAGGTCTCAGAACTGCAAGAGGACAGAGAGGCAATCATCCATGAAGTTATCTTTTTTTTTTTTTTTAACCTAGGGGTGGTGTGTGTGTGTGTCTTATTATGTTAGTTTATTTACAATGAAGTTATCCTTTTTAATGTGAACTCAGTAGCTTCTAAGTACCTTATCATCTTGGAAACGTGTATTCGTTAAGCAAAAGTTACTAAGTCTCAGTGAGGTGTCTCTTCTCTGGAAAGGGTTTTTTCCCTCTTACACGAGGGAATAGTCTTCCAAACTGCAAACTTATTAAGTCATAGCACCGTCAAATATTGAGCTATTGATACATAATTCTATTTTAATGGGGGAAATATAACTGACATTAGTTGGACCCAAATGCCTGCATGAAAAGAAGTCTACCCTGTCATCATCATTTGTGACAAGCTCTAGCCTGATATTTGTGTGCCTTCAAGCTCATATTGAGGTTGCTAATCTCTATCCTAACTTTGTTTTCCTAACTTGTTCGAGCTAGAGCTATGGTCACTGTATTTGTCAACTCTATGGCTCTGGTGGCATTGAGTCCAACGGAAATTGTGCTGCTAACCCAAAGACTGAGCTTCTCTGAAGGTTTTCAAATTCACCGGCAGCTCTGTAGGAGAAAGATGGGTGATCTCTTCAACTGTAATTTTACCGACTTGAAACTGGCTGGATGGTAAACTTGATGGCAACGAGTTGAGTTGCTTGCTTGGTTCTCATTGTCTTTGAGACACTCAGAGTTTGATAAGGATTGTTGTTACTGTGGTGCTGTCAAGTTGATTCTAACTTACCACAACCGTACAGACAGCAGGTCTGAACCCTGTTGGATCGTGTGCCCTCCTCATCATTTCTGATATACATGATCGAGATCATTGCTGCAGCCACTGTGTCAACCCATCCTGTTGAGGGCTTCCTCTCTTTTGCTGACCTCTCACCGTACCAAGCATAATGTTACTTTCCAAGCAACAGTCCCTCCTAACAACATGCTCAATGTAAGTGAAATAAAACATCACCATTCTTGCCTCTAAGGAGGACTCTGGCTGCATTTTCTCCAAGACATGTTTGTTATCTTGGCCACCCATGGGACACTCGGCACTCTTCTCCAACACCATAACTCAAAGACATCAATCTTTCTCCTATCATCTATATTCATTCTTCACCTCTCAGATGCTTTGATCCTTATTCATTGTCCAGCTCTCAGATGATTCAAAAGACCAGGCTTGAATCAGGAACACCTTAGTCTGTTACTCTTGAGTACTTTCGAGAAGTCCCTAACAGCAGACTTTCTCAGTGTAGTATGTTATTTTGATTTCTTGACTGCTGGTACCAATGCTGTTGACTATGGATCCAAATAAGATTAAATCAATGACAGATTAAATCAATCTTTCATCTGTCTATCATGATGTCGCCTATTGGTCCTGTGGTGAAGATCTTCATTTTCTTGATATTGAGACATGATATATATTGCAAGCTGATCTTTTTTGACCTTCTGCAACAAGTATTTCAAGTCTTCCTCACGTTGTGTCATCATCTGCATAATGAAGGCTGGTAAGGGGTCTTCTTTTGATCCTAATAACTACTTTCTTCTTACTAAAGCCCTGCTTCTCAAGTTATTTGTTCAGCTTACAGAATGAATGGTATGGATTATTGGTCAGCATATCAGGTATATAACCTGGTCAGCATGAGCTACCTCTCACATAAGCTTCTCAAGGAGTCTGTAGTTAGGAGGTTAAAAATAGCATTTGAGAAAGGGAACTAGAATGCTATTGGGGCAAAAGAGACAATGACTCGTTAGGCCTTTCTCCTGGTCTGTCTCAGTGTGGAGGCTCTACTGAAACTTGTTCAACATCACAGCAACACACAAGGCTCCACTGACAGATGATGATTGTTTACAAAGTACAATGGCCAGAAGTCGAGCTCACGTCTCCAACACGGGAGGTGCAAATGCTGCCGCTTGAGTGTCATGATTACCATCCATTCCCCAAATCTAAGAGTTCTCAGTATATAGTGTGGAAACAGGAAGAGTTCACTTAATCTGTTACCTCCCTATTTCCTTGGAAAGTTTTCTTGGAAAAGAACCTGTCGTTTATCAATATTGTTGACGGTGATGTGAAAAATACCCTTTTTCTTTACAAATACGGTGCAGTGGGTCTATTGCTAAAATTTTGGCTTTCCCTAGACTCTAGTCTGATGCAGCTGCTTCCACTCTGCCTGCTGGGCAAGCATGTTGATCCCATGGCAGCATCACTTGTTAGTCTTGCATTAAATTGAGCAGACTCAGTGGCAGAAAGTGGGAATCTCACCACAAGGGAGAAGGCAGATGCAGAGAGGGCAACACTCTTCTTTGGGGCCAGAGATTCCTGCACCAGAGATTGTATCTTGTTAACTGAGAAGTTCTTTGGACTGAGGGATGGCATTTTACTGTAAACTGAATTACAGCCTGTGAGGGATGGCATTTGAGAAGCCCTTTGGACTGAAGGTTTCTAACTTGCTGTTAACCTGAATTGCTTGTTAAACCCTGATAAAGCCCATTACCATGAGAATAGTTCTTTGAAGTCTGTGTGTGGTCACTGAAACAGATTTCAGACCCAGTAGAGTAGGTCCAGGAGCACATGAGAGGAAATTTCTGACCCCAGGGGAATTATTTGTGAGGCAGATGCTGTTGATGGGGGGCAGCAGTTCCTCCTTGTGAAGTTAATAGAGGCTGGACTCAGCTGTCCCCATGCTGTTTTTGTTTTAATGACAACAAAAAATAATGGCAAGACATAGATTAATTTAGATGCATGGATGCTGTATACTATAGGAGGACTTTGTGAGTACATTTGAGACCCCTCAGAGGAACCAGGAGTCAATTTATTAGCCTAGTTTTGTTTGGAGACATGGAAGAAAAGTCCAAAGCCCAAAAGGAGATTTTACCATAGATCATTATGTTCATCTAATTGCTGGCAGTGGAAACATCAATTTCCTGCTCTATAAATCATCCTCCTCAAATGCATAATGAAATTAAAGTGAATTAAATGTTTGTGAGACACTTGTTAAGTCATAAATTAGAATGCGAATGCAACTACAATTCTAATGAGGTTGAGGTTGGCAAAGAAGGTACAGCAAGTCCACAGGGAGCTGGAGACATTCCCAGGCCGCAGGAGATGGGCAGGGGAGAAGACAGCACGAGATAGGAGTGGAATCGGATGGAGGCAGAAGGAGAGGTGAGCAGCAAAGGTGAAATCTTGGCATCTCAACTGCCTTATCAGGAAGCCGAATACTACAGCACGGATCACAGCCAACAAGGACCTCTTTAAAGTGCTAAACAGGATGTCTGTTTAAAGACTAAGATGTGCCTAACTCAAGCTTTGGTGTTTTCAATTATTTTGGGTGTATGTGGAAGTTACAGTGACTAAGAAAG